AGATTATCATTTACAGTGTAATCAGTGAGGGGATTCTGCAGACTGTTGAGGGTTCAGCCTCCTGATGAGTCGGTGAAACTCCGACAAAACAGTTTGTCACAGCCCCTCGTTTGTTGTCCTCTTCTCTCTCTCTGCCTATGGTTTACCGGGCAGTTCTATTTGTGACGATATATATATATATATATATATATATATATATATATCGTCAAACAGAACTGCCCAGTAAACCGTAGGTACATATTGACGATATATATATGTATGCCCCGCCTCAGGGCATCAGTTGTCGGGCAGTCGTTGATGCTTAATCACAACCGGGGTTAAGGTGGATTACCACTTACAGTGTAATCAGTCAGTTAGGGGATTCTGCAGACTGCTGAGGGTTCAGCCTCCTGATGAGTCGGTGGGTGAAACTCCGACGAAACAGTCTGTCACAGCCCCTCGTTTGTTGTCCTCTTCTCCCTCTCTGCCTACGGTTTACCGGGCAGCTCTGTTTCATGATATATATATGTATATATCGTCAAACAATATACATATGGTGCGACCAGGCAAGTGGGCCCGGGCTATTCTAGTAGCTTTAAAATTTAAATCATTTTACCAATTTCAAAATTTGCCAATTTGGAAAATTTATCGATTTATCGATTTATTGATTTATGTATGTCAAATTGTCAACCTTGAACAGGGACTATGCAAATCTTCTCTTCTCTGTATTGTACCGATTGTTCCAATTCCTTCTTCTTCTTTTCTTTTTTTTTTTCTGAAATGTGTTGTTCAATTTTAATTTTGAACGGATGTCCCAAAGGACTCTTTTGTATTGGGTTCTAATGTTTTTTAAACTTTTTTTTCTTCGCCCCGTAAATAATTCCATTTCTCTGTTTATGCATGTCAATGATGTCATCCTTGCGTAGGGGCCATGCTAATCTATCTTCTCTGTATTGTTCCAATTTTTATGGATGTCCCGAAGAGCTCGGGTTTTAACTTTGAAGTTCGAACCGTAAACAGAAAGAACTCGTTTTACGGTTCGATTTTTTAAAAAGTTTTAACGGATGTCCCAAAGGACTCTTTTGTGTCCGTCAGTCTATGTATGCTTTGTCTGGCCTCCGTTGGTTTTTTTTTTTTTTTTTTTTGTTGTTGTTGTTGTTGTTGTTGTTGAAACTTGAAACTTGAAACTTTAGAGCCCTTTTCTGGACCTTTTTTTTTCTTCTCGGAATTCTGGACCTGTTTTGTTTGACTGTGGTTTCCCAGTCAAATATTAGATTGGGCGAACGGAAATCTGTGTGTGTGTGTGTGTGTGTGTGTGTGTGTGTGTGTGTGTGTGTGTGTGTGTGTGTGTGTGTGTGTTTCCCACGAGTACCTCCGCCAGTTGGGAAAATAGGGAGGCCTCGGGTGGGCCTTGGATCTTCTTGGAGGCCGAAACGAAACGACTGCCGCCGATGAGATTTATCAATGGCGGCCGTTGTCGGGCCCGGCCCCCGAGTTGCTAGGAGTACGGGAGTACTGCCAGTTTTCCCTATTTTCCCAACAATGGTGGAGGTACTAGTGCTTCAAGAAGAAGGGGAAAAATGGGAATGTCCTTCAGGATATCTCAGTAAAACTGGAGTGATACGGGGAAGATTTGTTTTTTTTTTTTTTTTTTTTTCAGTACAGAGAAGATAGCATGACGGCTGTGTGCAAGGATGACACATATAAATCGAGAAATGGTCCAAATCAGGGGGCGGGGGAAGGGGAGTGGGAATGATAAATTGGGAAATTGGGTATTCCTGTAAAGTTGTGTAAACCCCTCCATTTTTGTCTTTTCCTTTTCACTCATCTGGGCACTTTTTTGCTTTTGCTGTGTTTGAACCTGCACTTGTTCTTTTCAATCATTCTGACAAGGGACGTGAAAATTCACTCACTTGTCTGACGTCCTCTTTCCCTCTTTTTCCCTTTTTTTGTATTTGTCCGGCAGATTGGAGAGCTTCTTGGGGAGCGTGCTGCACTGATGGTGACTTTGGCAGAGGTGAGGGACACGTCCGTGCGCGTTTTTTACGACCTCATGAAATCCAAGGGAGAAAAATTGGTTAAGTATCCTCCCCCGATCGCAGCCGATCTTTCGCCGCCGCCTGCCGTGGGCGAAACTGTGTCCCTTGTCCTCGAGCTTCTCGATGCGTACAAGACGGCGATGGTTTCCGCCGGCTCGAAACCGGATTTCGAACCGGTTTTGGCTGCGCTCCTCGACCCTTTGCAGCAGATGTGTGAACGCGCAGCTGAGGCTTATGGGGTTAAGACACTGGTCTCTCCGCTCCAGTGGAAAGGAGGTGATTCTCGCGACTCCTCTGCGCGGCGGCTAAGCGGTCCCAGTCCAGTCGGAGGCCTCGACGGCAGCCGCCATGCCGGCCATGCATCATCCGACGGTCAAAATTTCTCCAACTGGCCTAGCCTTCTTCCGGACGATTCGCTGAAGACTGTCCGGCGGATCTTCTTGATCAATTGTTATTCGGCGATCGAGCATCCTTTGTTACCGTACGACGTAACTGTCGCCCGCACCGAGGCGCTCCGTGCGGTGATTCAGGAGCATATCGCCACGCTTGTCGAACACGAAGTGAATGTGATTTTGGACAGATGTGGCTTGGCGACGAAAGTGGAGATTATTCAAGAGAGAAAGGTAGGCGCCGGTCGGGGGATGACGGGTAGACTTTGCGACGCCGAGGAGATGTCGGCAGCGGCGGTGGCAGAGTCGGCGCGATCACTTTTCACATTGCTGGCTGTCGAGGGAGCGCTCCCCGAGTTTGTCCACATGCAAATCCCTCGATTGCGCGCCGATGCCTGCAACAAGGTCGCGAGCGCGCTGGCAAATGCGTACGAAACATTGTACGACGCAGTGCTAGATCCGGAGAGTGGGTACATAGCAGCTGGTCAATTGCTAAGGCACACGCCGGGTCAGTTGCGAACCATCCTTGGCATCTGATTAAAAAAAAAAAAAAAATCTATTTTTTTTTGTCGGTAACAACGGTAAGTGCAGAGATTTCCATGAAGAAGAATTACTTCCGACTCTTCTGAGAAATCACATTGAGGCTCGTCGCAAGGAGCAGGAGGGCAGCCATGGAATAAGCATGTTGATGTTGATGTCAAGTTGGCAACTTGATGCCAAGGTTTTGCGACATGCAGATGCCGCGCCTGAGTTATTGCTGGGAGGAAGAGAGCACACACACCACCTCTCCTGTTCTTTTTTTTCTCTCTCTCTCTCTCTGTTTTTTTTTTTTTGTTGGGTAACTGTAGAGTACGTGGTCTGCTTGTTTGCAGCTACAGGGTGCGAATGCAAAGGCCGCTTGGTTAAGATAGCAGGTGTATGTGCAGGTTTCCAGAGAGCAAAAACCACGACGATTGAATTATTCATTCTTGTCTGTTGCGGGAATCGTGATTGATATATTTTTTTGTTTTCCGAAATAGGCTTTGGCGTTTTGTAACTTTTTCTCCTCTCTTTTTTTTTTTTCTTTTTTCCCCGCATCGAATTGTGCAGCTATAGCAATAATACTTGTGACATTGTGAGTTGGTGTACCTGCTCTTTTTTTTTTTTNTTTTTTTTTTTCGCAGAACACAATTCGTCCCTGCTCTTTTGCTGGAAGCGGTATCTTTCTCTTTCTTTGTTTCTTTCTTCTCCCGCCTGCGCTCCCACCCCTCTCTCCCTCCCAGTTTCGGAGATAAAACAAGAGAAAATTGGGAATATAAAACAGAAAAAGTGTACACCAATTTTTAATGTGAAAGTACCACTTGCCTTCCCTTTACCTCATCAAAGGGGTCGTTAAAAAAAAAACTAAAAAATGGAGCATGCTTTTTCGACGTGAGAGTATACTTTGGTATATGCTGCACGTGTCATCAAAGGATTCATCAAATGGGGAGGAGGGGGGAGGATTCTTAACGAGGAAATATTCAGCCTTTTCCGTTATTGTGGTTGTTGGTGAAAATCATTGTAATGTGACAATAATGTCTGCGTTATTTTATCTTTTTTGGTCCGTTTCGTTTTTTCAGTTTTTTCGTATTTTTCTTGCATTTGAGCTAGGGTACCAGCCGGGTCGCCGGGGTCACCTTGTTCGCCCGGGCTGCCTGGCCGTGCAAGGACTATTGAACTTGATAGAAGGTCCCAGCAAAAAAAAAAAGCCAAAAATTCCTAGGTTACCAGATTGGACCGGGTCCGCTTGCCCTTCCGGGCCAAAAATTAAAAACGAAAAAACGAAAAATAATTATCTTTTTATTTTTTTTATTTTTAAAATTGGTAAAGAATTTCGATGTAACGCTGCGGCGAAAATTGTTTAGTTTATTTTTCTGCATAACATAATTATTTGAATGTATTTCCTTTTTTTTTTTTTAGCTGGGACCTTTTTGGGTCCTTGCACGGCAGGGCCGCCCGGGCAAACAAGGTGATCGGTGTGGCCCTGCTGGTACCCTAGAAAAAAATGTAAAAAAAAAAAAAAAAGTTATGTAGAAAAATAATCTGTAACAACTTTTGCCTCAGCGTCACATCAAAGTTCTTTACCAAATTTACAATTAAAACTTTAAAAAGTAAAAAAATAAAATAATGTTTTTTTTTCTTCTTGTTTTTGTTTTTTTGCCCGGCCGATCAAGTGGTCCTGGCGCACTCTGGTATGGCCGAAGTTGAGTGTGAATATTTTATTAAGGAACGTCCAATCTCTGGCAAGATTCTTGAATAACAAGGTGCTGATGGCTGATTTCGATTTATTTCGCTTTTTTATGTTTTTTTCTCTTTTCCTGTGAATATGTTTCCAGAAATATGGCCGAAGTTGAGTGTGGTGTCTTTCTTGTTCTGTTTTTAGACGGTATTAGTTAGTGGTTGTCCATTAATAAACAAATAAGAAGAAATCCCCAATGTCGTTGGCTGCTGCACATACTTGCGGCGCATCACGTGCGCGTCGTGGCCACACGTGCGGTGCACACCGCACGATCATGTGAAAAATAGGGGTCCAAAAAATAAGACGGGGGGCCGGGGTGGGTGTGCTAGCACACCCCGCCTTTCCCCGCAGAATTTGTTTGTTTTTTTGTTTTTTTTTGAATAAAAGATCCATGTCGTGGTAGAGGGTGGATGCTAGGCCTCGGGGGTGTATGTCGTCGTACTCAACCAGTGAGGGGATCGGATGGCTTGTGACAACCCCAAGGACAGTCTTCCTCCAGGGAGTGTCATATCCTAATCTTATCGCAAGTCGAGTCGAGCCTTATAGCGGTGCGACCCAGACCCCTCTATCTAGACCTAGACCCACACCAACCCGCACATTCCGAGGGGTCGTAGACACTTCCCCCCGCAGGCGCTACTAAAGGGACACCGCGAATCTCGAGGACGACCAGGATACAGCAGGGGTCACGGACATACACGGTCATTCCCCCGCTGTATCAGATCATGCTATGGGTGGCGAAGCCACCCTTCTACATCAATGTGACAACCCCCCCCCAGAAGCATCGTGAGATCAACCTGAAGCCCGCCT